CCCCAAAACCCCAAAACCCCAAAACCCCAAAACCCCTATTTTTTATTTTATATTGAACGACCAAATGAGTTTTTACAAACACAGAGCCCTATTCTAAGTTGGAGTATCTTCTCAGTCAAAAAATTAGACAAAGAATTTTTATAAGCTATGATTAATCGAGAGGAAATTTAGCTAATTTTAAATTGTGGTGGTTGCTAAAGAACCTATGATTTATGACCTCTAAATAAATTGTAACTTTTGAGATGGATGAACTTTAGAAAATAAAACTGAATGAATATTCTCTAGCTTTGATACATTCTAAATATCAAGAGGATCCTAAGAAATATTTATAAATTAGCAAGAGGAAATCCTTCTTAAAAACATGCAAACTAAAAAGAGAAATTATGATAGGAGCAGCCTGTTGGCTGCATTGATAATATGAATTTCAAACAGAAAAGAAAATATTAAAAGCTTGATTTGAAGTTCAATCCAGAAATTAATAAAACTCTGGGTATCCTTGGCCAGAGCCTATATCGCAAGAGCCATATCCATATTTAAGGAAGATGTGACCATCCATTCCCCAATCAGCTCCCCATGAGTTTCTAATGACCCAGTGGTTATAAGTATCTTCAAATCCGACAACAACAATGATGTGAGCTGCTGTGCCTTGAACTGTTTCTCCTTGGTTAGCTGTGATCGTCCCGCTCTTATACAAATTCCAGCCATAAGCATTAACGTAAGCGGCAATAGGTCCTTCTTTGAGACAAGAGTACAATCCTGATTCTCCATTATTGACTTGCCAGACTGTCTTGACTCTTCTGTTCCCTGAGCAATAATAACAGGTATCTTTCCATGCTTTATATTTATAGTTGGCTGCTTTACACAAAGCTTCATTTTTGAAATAATGAAATACGTCCATATAGTATCCTCCAGAGCAACTGCTATAATATCCTGTACAATCAAGAGCTTGCTGCTCTGATAGCTTAGATGTCATTCCATACTTGATTGCGAGTCTACCTTCCATGGTTGCAACTGCTGCAAAGGCCCAACAAGATCCACAGCTTCCTTGGTCCTGGATATGCTTCATATATGGTCTCCAATTGATGTCGTAGCTTTTTAGGGAAGTAGAAGTTTGATTATAGACTTCTACATCTTCTTCCTTTTCAGCTCTACCAACCATTCCTCCCATTCTTTGAGCCATCTCTTCTTGTGTTAGATCTGCAAATTTAGTAACTCCAAACTCAGCTTCAGGATTGAGGTTGTTCAACTCCTCAGCAAGATTCATGTTGGTATCAAACACAGTTCTTCTATAGTCCATCTCTTGCTGAGTTCCATAATTCTTGCCATAAGTAGCAATAAAAAGCTCAAAATCATCGTCATATTGAGCATATTCCGGAACAACGGCTACATAAAGTAAGCCTAAAGCGGACAAAAAAGAAATAATAGCTAAAATATTCATTTAATATTACTCTTAATTGTAAGCGGACTTTATATGGGGTTTTGGGGTTTTGGGGTTTTGGGGTTTTGGGG